CATGACACCAGCATAATAATTATTCAAAAATAAATAAATAGAAAAACACAAAAAAAAGCATCGGAGATGTTCGTCATTCGAAAGAACAATGCTTCTCTTTAAATATTCAGCCAAAGAGAAGCGTACACTATTAATACTAAGTTGGGCATGAACAGAGAAGACCCAACAAGTAAGTAATGTGAACAGTCCCGAGAAGGCAAATCGCAGCATGGCAACATGTTCGTGATGAGTGCAAAGTATAAGACAAAGAGACAGAAACAGCTGAAGGAAATGGGATATGATCAGTGTGAAATTTGTGACTAAATGATGCCATGCACGTGCAATACGTGGGAAACATGTGTAAAAGCACATGCGAGGAAACTGATACCATTATAATGTCGGGGGAGCAATAGGCAAGGAAGAATGAGGTGAGTGAGGACTACCAGCATTCAGTGCCTGCAATTGTACTTGTATGGGGTTTGGTGGGTATAAACAAAATTATCTACATGGAGATTATGGCTATAAATGTGCATACCGTGGTGTGTTGTACTAAAGCCTATCTCATATGGAAGCCTGTTTTGAGTGCAAGCGTGATTTTAAGATACATTGTCAGCACATGAGCCTGGTTTTAGTGTTAACACACATAGAAATACTTGGTTTGAATAGAAGCCTAATGTGAATAGAAGCCTAGCATTGACATAATTACATGCTTGGAATCGGTAGTGCTCCAGCAGCTTCACGACCATCTGGACATCAAACCCGGAGCAATTCCAAATGAACAGTTTGCATACAGGCGGAACCACAGTACTGAGGACCTTTTAACACTTGCCATCAATAACTGGCAGAGAAGCATGGATACCAGAGACTATACGGCCGTACTGCTGCTCGATATGAGCAAAGCCTTTGACCGCGTACACCACCAAACACTAATAGATGACCTTCACAATCTGAAGATCCGTGGAAATGCTCTTGAGTGGTTCAAGTCGTATCTGTGTCACCGACAGCAACGCGTAGAAGTGAACGGAACCACAAGTGACTGTAGAACCTGCACTAGGGGCTATAGTAACCCGCGGCCAAGTCAATTTTTCCCTTTCCTTACCCATTGTGCAAGCTCAAGCTGGATACCGATCTTTTTTTTCATTCCTTGGTGCTGACCGCTTTAATGCGCTTCCCGAATCCCTTCGCACAAATCATATCCCCAATTCATTTCGCCAGGAGCTTAACAATTTCATTAACCTTGGGCACCCTGTAAGAAGACCTTAGAGTCTGTTGGGAATGCCCAAGTAAAAATATAATACAATACAAAAATACATGCTTTTACAGGAATAAGCCGGGGTTTAAAACGCGACATTACGGTATCTGCGCACTCATCACTACATACACATTTCAAAGCAATGCAGGTAGGCATATTCCAAGAAAGTTGTCCTATATTTTTCATCAGTTGGAATCGCATCACAATAGCATTTTCGTGAAAAAAGAGATTCTAAATTAAATGTCGAACTAAATCTCGATTTGTCCAGCCTTTCAATACACTCGTATGATCCATGGACGAAAAAATTAAGGTACAACTGGACGAACTCCCTTTTTTTGGAGTTGGATGAAAGTATTGGCTGACGGAATTTTCTGCCTGTACAGTATAGTTACAACACTGTGCTTTGAGCGTGCTACAGGTATAAAAATGTGAATAAAAAGATAACTATATTCAACTTAGGTTTCTCCATATTTTAGCACAAACCTATAGGTCGTTTCTTAGCTGGCGACGGCTCATTTCCAGCCGAAGACTTGGGTGCCAGCATGCAGAGTGTTGGAATGCTCGGAACGGGGACTAAAAGGAACTAAGGTTGTATGAGCGTTACAGCATTATGGTCTTCTGACATCGCATGATGCAGGTGGCAATTTTTAGTGTGAATTCCACATCCAGCATAAGCTTTGTCGCATATACCGCCTCTTCTGCGTCATGCCTGCAAAAACACTTTCGTTGTGTTCTTTCTTGCTGTGTAGGTGCAAAGGGTTATGCTCCAGCGGCCGCAACACCTGCCAAGGCAAGGGTGCTGTTGCTTGCTGCCATAGCTGATGCCACAATGCTCCACATTCCACCAGTTGTTATAGTAACAATGTGGCGTTGCGAAGGCACGGCCTTCACTACAAGGGCCTAGCCAGCAAGAGTACATGAAAACCAGAGTGTGCAGCTTGGGGCCTTTTCTGCTCTGGGTGTCTGTCACGGCGGAATTCCGTGATTACATCATATTTGGCGCAGATCTGAGGCGGGAAATGGCGGAGTGCGTACAACTCAGCAGCAGTTGTGCAGAAAGAGACCTGCTTGAATCCTGCTTGTACGCACTACTCCACTAAAATGATGTAGTGACGGAAATCCGCCGTGACAGCAACCCATCCGAGCTGTAAACTCTGCTTTTCATGTAGTCTTGGTACAAGTGTGGATGAGGCTGGCGTGGACAAGGATAAAGCGGGCCAGAACAATTTTGGTCATGGTTAATGCTGCTGAGAACAATTACACAGCACACGCACACACACGTGCACGCATACTTTTAGCTTTTATAGGTTGCCATAGTTATAAATGTTGCCATGGTGACGTTCTTAGCCATTGCACAATAATAAATGTAAATATGTATTTAAAGTAGGCGTAATCTGGTCATGCCTGTACGTACCGGCGGCAGTGATTGTAGAGCATTATAGAACAGTAGTTTCGCTCAATTTCATACGTCACCATTCGTAAAAGCCTGGAATATAATGATTTACTAGTTGCCGAGTTAAAGCATTTTGACAACAACGTATAGACCACAGGCCATTCATAAAATGTAATGAAATCTAGGTTTAGTGAGACTGTGAATGGGATCATTTCCGAATCCACCCAGAGTTTGGGGATTTCAGGGGCTTGGGCGGTTCAATGGCCAATTGAGTCTTTCCAAGATTCCTTTTGAATTTCTCTCCCCACTCCCGACGGAGAGACCCACATGTCCTGTTCTGGCAGTTCGAAAAACATACCAGTACATATGTGTATTCTCTTATCCTCAGTGGCCAATTAATGATAGGCAGTGTGACTAAGAGAATAATAACATCAAAAAAAAAGAAAAAAAAAATTCACGGTTCGCGTGAGACTCGGCTGATAACCGAATTTTCCGCATCCGTAGGAACGCCACCAACCTTCAAGGATCAAGGCGCAAATGCAGCTCCTAAAGCGGTGGGAACATCAAGAGAGTACACAATTCAAGACAAATTACGGTTGTTCATTTACACGGCCGTTATCCACTGATTCTGGTATTCCGAGACTTTCAAAATCGGTTCCAGAGCACGTACTCAAAATAAAATAAATAAATAAATATAAGTATACGGTATCGGCCAGAGGAATCCAACACCACGAATAACGTAGCGGCGAGCGTCACACAGCCCTATCACTACCAGTGTTGCCACATCATTTTGGCCAAATATCAGTAGGATGAAAAAATAAAATGCATCATCTGGAGGCTTTTTGCCCCCAGACCCCCATCATAGTAACCCCAGTATACACATGCACACAAAGCGCACTGTTAAAGGGGAAGTATACCCTAAAATCACATTTTCACCAGTTGTAGTCTTCGGGGTACTGAGTCGAATGGTCTTGGTCCGAGGAAACTGAGACGCACCCTTCCTCCTTTATTCCCAATCGAACTCGCGCACTTCCACCGAAACTGGGTGACTGCGCCCTACTAGATGGGGATTTGTATGCAAAATGTCACTAAAAACGCCATGTCGTTCTTATTAAAGCACGGATGACCGCGATTGGCCCATATGTTGTAGTCTTTTAGACGCTGAGTCGACTGGTTTTGGTCCAAAAAGGCTGCGATGCAGCGTTCCTCCTTTATTCCCAATCGAACATGGTTGAACAAGCGGCCACGTGCTCCCGCGTACACCAGTCACCGTGCCTGCAGGGTACAACTTACTAGCCTGTTTGACCTTTTTTGGGTGCAGTCCTGTCACTCGAGTTGAACTCGAGTTGAACCTTGGTGTGAAAGTTGTCGCCTGCTGGCGCGGTGACCAGGTGAGTTGGGCACCCTGGAGCACGTGACCGCTTGTTCAACCATGTTCGATTGGGAATAAAGGAGGAACGCTGCATTGCAGCCTTTTTCGGACCAAAACTAGTCGACTCCGCGTCCAAACGACTACAACACATGGGCCAAACTCGGTCATCCGTGCTTTTATAAGAACAAAATGGCGCTTTTAGTGACATTTTGCATACAAATCCCCATCCAGTAGGGCGCAGTCACCCAGTTTCGGTGGAAGTGCGCGAGTTCGATTGGGAAAAAAAGAAGGAAGGGAGCGTCGCAGCTTCCTCGGACCAAGACCATTTTGACTCAGCACCCCGAAGACTACAACTGGTGAAAATTTGATTTTAGGGTATACAGTACTTCCCCTTTAAAAATCCCCGGGTCTGCGTGAAACTCAGATTGAGCTATCAGATTTCCCCCCCGAGACAGAATAATGATTTCACTTAGCACCATAGGAGAGAGCAATGAAAACAAACACGATGACCAGTAAGAGCAAAAATCTGGAACATGACTTCTATTTTGTTCTAATTATTTAGTTCTAAACGAAGCATAATGTCAGAACGGGACATTTTCATGTCTGTTGTCGGCAGGAAAAGGTCAATTGTCGGCGGGTCGTGAAATGCCTCCAAAATCAGGAGGCTACTGACATGTCGGCAGGTGTGGCAACACAGCACTACACACTGTTCTGTGCACTCGAACATGATGCTACAATATTCAGGAGGTCAGACTTTCCTAGCTATAAGTGTACACGTGGTGTGTTCTCACATCACCACTGGCGGGAACACTGGCATAGGAATGTATCGACGTGGAGTGTCATCCCCTCATCACTGCTTGAAGCACTGGCGTAGCAATGTATAGACGTGGAGTGTCATTACATCATCACTGCTTGAAGCACTGGCATTGCGATGTATAGACGTGGCGTGACATTACATCACCGCTGGCGGTAACACTGGCATTGCAATGTATAGACGTGGAGTGTTATCCCGTGACCTTTGCAGAGAGGTCTGGTACATTAATGATCTCGGCTGCCATAGAAGTAGAACAATCTGGATCCTGCGTCGGCCGTACGGAAAGACGAACGTCACAGTTGGCCATGTTCACCGGCTTCTCCACTGCGGCGCGATTGACGGCGTCCACGCGCTCGTAATGCTGCTCGGCCGTGCGCCGCTCGCGACAACCCCTCATCTTGCGCAGTATGGCGCGTGGCTTAGCCACGCTCTCCGCACAGTCTACGTACACTTTGAGATCCCAGAAAGGCTGCAGGGCAGTGAACGGCGCGTCGGTGCAGAGTGCATGCACACCCTCCACCAGGACAACACACGGTGCCGACCAGACCTCAACCTGGTCGGCTAACGGCTCGTGAACTTCACGGCTGTAAGCAGGCATCTTCAGCGTGCCAGCTTCCGTGCTCGTGAGCTTCGTAACGTCAGCCACAAACGATTCGACATTGTACGTTGACGTAGATCCCTGCAGGGAATGTCGGGACAGAAACAATCGAAAAGCATGGAACTGCGCTTATGAACTACCGGTGAACATCCTTTGATTAGTTGCGCTCTGTGAACGCCGACCTAAAGTGCATATCTGGCGCCCTCAACTTGCCCGGCCCTTGAAGCCCTAGAAGTGGCACGAATGCAGCTGGACGTACACATGTACA